ACTACATATATACATACACAAAATAGAACGGAATATTGATAAGCCGAGGTTGCACAACAGAACAATTTGAAGCAGAAGGGGAGAGGGGAACTGTTTTGAAGAAACTTCACATTTAAAAAGTAACTGTCAAAAAACCGTTTGTGGTGAATTGGTTCAAAATATATCTAATGGGAGTAACACGCAGGTTGGGCATTTGCAAATGTCCGTTAGCCTAGCAGCTGTTTATTTGGTGCGTCCACAGCTGGCGCAGAGTGGAACAGCCTTCAGTTAAAGTTAGCTGTAAAATAAGCCAACTCATGGCTCTGGTGAATAAGTAGTCGCGGGCAAGCAGCGGCAATGCCAAAAGCCTATAAAGTTTCAGAAAGACTAAGGACTGCACTGTGACATGGCGAGCCTGAAGCGCAACTGAATAAGTCTGGTTGTTACCGCAGCCTTGTGGTTAGACAATTGGGCAAAAACGCTCAAGGAGACAACCTCGAACAAACAATCCAAGCTACTGTTGGGGGCTGACCCGTACTCACAATTCCCAAGACACCGCATAAAGACTATGTCTGATTTTAGTGATATGCTCTTGATCGAGTAAGCCCATGCAGTGTTTAAACATGGGCAAACGCTGGCATTTTGCATGATTTTAGCCCAAACCGTTGACTGTAATTTCACCTGTGCTTCAACTTGCTTTGCTTATATTTCGGAATCCGCCTGCGCTGCTGTTTCTGTTGTGGGACGTGTAGGGTGTGATCTGTGAATATAAAACTACCTATTTGTTAAAATATCTGACCCTAGTCTCTGTTTCATTAGTCTCTGTAACATTAGAATCAAAATAGCCAATAAATTTATGCTTAATCATGAAAAAACCCACAAACAATAGCGCGGGATATCGTGGAACAGAAATGTTTAAATTCGTGCACATTCCAGGAGTTTTTTTATTTGTGTCATTATTTACGTTAGAAAATTTATTCCTATTTCATGCATGACTCCGTCCGAAGGCGCCGCGGTTTGCAGGATAAAATCTCAGGCTTTTCTAGTTGAGTTTCCGGTACTGAATTATCATGTAAGCTGTTGGCGTCAGAAATTGGAAATTTGGCATTTGATGTCACTGCCGTTTTACATCCCAAATGAACGGCCCAACGAAACGTCTAGTTGACACCTCCGACAGAACTATGAAAAATGGACTACGTCAACGCATTCGTTCTAGCCTATAGAATAACCCCGAACATTGAGTTTGGTGGCCAAACATAGCTGGCAACGCCATGCAGGTCTACATTACCTAACACTGCGTACTTAATTACTTTAAAAGTACTGGTAACATTTATAATTAAATTAATCCAGCCGTCAAATACTTAGCGGCGTCGGTTGGCGTTGAAACCATATCAACAAAAATAAGCTTACGTACAGCAAATACTCTGCCCATTGAGCTATGAGACTCAGCTGGAGCGGTAAATTTAATCACATTTGAGTCGTTTTAATCGCCCACCAGCCATGGACTCCACACAAGCAGATACGGAACGCTGGCTGCCCAGGCAGGATTCCCTACGTAACCTACGTAGAATCTTCTTAATGATTTTGAGGGAAACTTAATTAGTAGGAGGAATTAAAAGATTTCATAATTTACATGTCTCAATCCTGAATTATGATGGCCTCATTCATTTTGTAGTTTCTCATTAATCATCTTGCACGTGTTTAAATGGTAAATTGTTCTTTAGCATGTGTTTAATTAGAAGCATAGAAGTGGTTCATACCTCAAACATATGAGGCCCGTATTGACACACGCGAACTGTCGGGACAAGTGTTGTACGTTACACATCTTCCCCTTTATCGTAAAGGCATAAAATGCGAACACAATTTATTTTAGTTTTTTGGCTCCAGACCTTTCCTGTGAGTATTTGATGTTTGTAAGTGAGAGAGAAATTGGTGAAAGCACTTCGTAGTCAGATATAAACTGTCAACACATAATTTGTGTTGAATTGGTACAAACTATATCTGATCAGAATAACACGTAGTTTGGGCATTTCCAAAGCGTATTGTATGTGGTTTAGCAAAAGTCTAATCAAAATACACAACTGCATCAGTTTCAAAGTTGCGGAAATTTCCATCAGAGAGTTCAAAAGTCTAGTTTGGCGAGTATACGTGTATTTTCGACAAATTTTTCGTCAGGCCTTACATTTATATGAAAACTGGGTGCAATTTTAGGCATTCTGAAAAGACGCCTTGACCAAGCCGTCGCAAGAACTTTCCCAGCAGCCAGAGATCAGGTATTATTTTCAACCAACCCAATCTTACACGGGGACGGTAAGGATAAGTTACCAGCTCAGATCACCTCAATGTGCAACTTCTCACTCACTTATTCCTGTGGAGCAGGTTATATTGGTCGCACGAGCCGGCGCCTATCTAAAAGAATAAAGGAACACCTCCCCGCATGGCTGAGAAAAGGTGAAGTCAGGAGTATAAACATCTCTATTCTGGCGCGCGTGGTCAATCCCGGACATCGGGTGGACCCCAACGAAGCTTTCAGAGTGATCTACAGGGTCCCACCAAATTATCCGAAGTCCCTTGGTCAGCGCCTGCTAGCAACAGCAGAAGCGACCACTATCAGGCTGATTAAGCCCACGTTGTGTGCACAAAAGAATTTCCTACAAGCCCCCCCAAATGGCGTGGCCCACAGTCACTTAGCGGCATGCAGTCATCCACGCTGTTTGTCTCCCTCCCCCCGTCTCCACCTGCCCCATCCCATATACTGCTCCATCAAACCTTGCCCTCACAACCAGCCATCGCTTATCGACCCCACCCCCATCCCCAAGACTCACTTGTCCGAAAAGACGAACACGCTTAAACTTGCACCCAGTTTCCATATAAATGTAAGGCCTGACGAGAATTTGTCGACAGTACACGGATACGTGCCAGACTAGACTTCTGCATCAGTTTCCTTGAAAATCCACGTTCCCCGAAGACAACTAGTATTTCAGCTTCTGCTTATCTGGCCGCATATATCTTATGCCTCCGTACTAAGCATGTCTTCATCCCTTGTTTTGTTACTAATAAGGGCGTCTTTAGTGGGTGCTGAGCGGGCAAGTGTGACAGCTCTACTGATGGTTGCGATCGCAGATGAGAGTCTGTTGGTGTGTCGGAGTGTTTTCAAGTTTACACGCTCGGCTAGGCGTGGCGAGTTTCAGGTGCATACTGTTTCGTGTCCAGCTCCGATAGGTTGGGTAGGTTCCAACCAGAGGACGTGGGATGCTTGCAGTCACATTAAGGGAAGTTCAATGAAATTGGACGAGGCTAATTGATAATATTACAAGCAAATAATCTATGCTACTTGCTAATTTATAAGTAGACATTCCGATGAACTAGCCGGGGTCATTTTCGGGCATGTTCACTTGTATTGACATTTTAAACAATATTATTATCGAAAGCAAATGTCAAAGACCGTGGATGGTGACAGAGGGATACACGGACTATCTTCGGACTTTTGGGATATACTGAAAATATGTTAAACGCATAGAAAACTAGAATATGCGCTTAGGATGTATGCTAATTTCACGCCTATCACTAGTCTTAGGGGACTTATGTTAACTTCGTCTTGTTCTGAACCCCTAAGGAAACTCTGCGTGCCACTTATGGGTCTAGGGTATTAAGGGACCCGAACGCAATTTAAAAAACATAATTTGTAGCACAAATGCACGAACATCACGCGATGACTCTATGGGTATGGTCTTACAGAAACAAAAGGTTGGAAAGTATACGCCTTTTTGAATCCTTCGTTAAAAATTCGAACCAGCAGCTGCCGCAAATATTGATCACTTGTCAAATGTCTCTGTAGTGATTTGTGTATATCTGGTAATCCACGAGCCCAAGGACTGTCATTCTTCACAGCCAGAGAACCTTGAGCACTGCACTTTTATGGCTTTCTGAGGTTTCTAGAACGTTAGATACGGCCATCACATGGCATATTCGATATGTCAGCCAAATAGCTGAAAAATGAAAACGCGATCAGTGGGATTGCATGTGCTGCTTGGCTTCGTAAAAGAGGCCATCTTCAAAGACAGCCGCAAGAATATGTGTGCTCTTTACCCTTCAGTACGTGTCTAAGTCACCACTGTATGTCAGAAATTGTAAAAATAGTAAATCCGTCCACATTACACATAGCGATGAGAGCAGTAACCTTGAAAGTGTACGGCTCAAGGCACAATTAGAAGACCGGGAAGATCTTAGGAGAGTGATGACAGCATGACACTGCTAAGGTCTTCCCGTTTTGCCAAACTAGGCAGTTATACAGGGTGTCCACGAAGTCTGGGTACATAGGGGATAAATACATACCT